ACCCAAATTGATAGGAGAAATAAAGATGGAGAAGTTACCATCCATATAAGGAAGAGCAAGTGACTGATCCAAAATCAAAGTATGTCCTTCAATTATGGCTTGCTACTGAGAAGACCATGCTATATAGTTTTCTTTAGAAAGATGGTTATAGTTATGTGTCATGACAAGATCCACTTGAACTATGCTTGATCTATTTCTCTAACTTCTTTGAGATTCTATTTCTCAAGAAGCAGCATTCCTTCTATATTGAAGGTTGTTGAAAGATGTAGTATCAATTGAAGCAATGCCATCGAGATGTCTTGCATGGCCACTAAACGAATCATTTGACTACTGCAATGCATACCTTTTGTGCCCATGCTTTCAAGCAAATTTTACGTGCAATTTGTCTCTACTTCAAAACCAAGTTTTAGGCATAAACCTGCTTTGATTAATTGTAGACTTGCATATAAAAATTTAGTTTCCTTGATAAATGGGTTCACTTATTAAATTAAATTAAGTGTAGACCTGCATGCCTCCAAATTCCAAAAGACAATAAATTTCATTAATTGCATTAAACTAAATCAACATAAACTTAGACATAAAACAATATAAAGAACTCATACACACATGTTAATGTTTAATAGACCCCCAAACCACATGATTTTATATTTTATTTGTTTTGTAAAATTCCCCATTCCTTAATATATATGCATGACTTAATAACAGAAAATAAACTTTGCATAAAAGCCATCAAAACTAAAAAAGGAAAAAAGTTACAAGAACTGAAAACAACCTTTGATGAATAGATGGTAGATTCAAACATTTGATATGTAAGCAGACAATAAAAGAAACAATGACTTATCAGTATAGGGGGTAGGGTTCAAATCAAATTTAAAAGAATCTTATGTGGGATCACCACCTTAAACTAACTTCATTCCCATCCTATACTGTGATCCAAGAACTAAAGGGTAAAAAGTACTAGTAATTAGCAAAGAAATTTTATTGTTTTTTCTTTATTAAACACAAAACTCTATCAAAGTCACTTTAGAATTTCTTTATGCAATTGCACTTTCTAGAATCAAAGACCAAAAGCTGTCCCAATTGGTCCTCTCCATTTCTCTTGTAAAGGGGAAAACCTAATTCTTGAGATCTAAATTCAAATTGAACATAAACTTCAATTCAAGAATACCCATTAATGTGAAAGGTATAGAATGTGAAAAATCATCCACAAAGACTAAAAAAACTAATAATTTCTTGAAACAAGAAGCTAAAGAAAAAGAATGACTAGCCAAAAGTGAGAAAAGGCAGCAAAAGCTTGCTCGAGAGAGAGGGAAAGGAGCAATTAGACAAAAAGTGAGAAGGGAGGGAGTTTATGTCGTGTTTGCTCAACGATGAGTTTTAAAATATTTATGATTCTCTAACAATTGCATGTAATTAAAAACTGAAAAAAAGTGGAAGTAGTGAACCCAACTCACCACCAAAATGGGAGGAAGGGAGTTCAGTTCTAGTGATGTGTTGGGTCAATGCTAGTTTGGGCCTAGAGCCCGAATTTATTTTCTTAAGGATTGCATACAAGGCCTTTGATTTTGACGCCCAAAAAATTTGAGGACTTAATAAATTCCTTGACCTATTTCAAAGACCCTTAAATTTTTTATTAATTTTAATTCTAAGAAATATAATAAAATCTAGAGTACATTTACTAATACTTATAAACTAATTAATGTTTCTAAAGAAACTTAAGAGCACAAGCCTCTATAAGAATTCAATTTGAAATTCAAATTCTATGATTGGTGGAGAGGGGTTTTATTAATTTGAAATTCAAATTCTATGATTGGTGGATAGGGGTTTTATTAGGAAAAAAGTACTGTTTTATATAACTCATTGTTGGAGGTACTAACAAAATTTATATTATCATAATAAATAGTTAATAATAACTTACATGACAGAACTTAAAGTTGGGTTTGCTTTATTTGTAATAATTAAAAGGGTCTTAAGTTAGTGTACAAATAATTTTCCAATATAAATATATTTTTGGAGATTAATTAGTATATTCATCTATATTGAATTTTTTCTTTTGTTAAAGTTTTATTTATCCAACAAAGCCACACTGACATCTATCTAATTTCATTTTCCACTCTCACAGATAAGAATTGCCAATAACATATGATAGATGAAGCATAAATGAAGACATAAAATAAAAATACATCATATACAATATATGTAAATAGAAAAGAAATGTGGTGAGTAAATTACACAATCAACTTTTGAGGGACACTAATTATTTATATATTCCTTAGGTTGAATGTTGCACTAGACACCTTTTAATCTTCTTAAGACAACTTAACACAATCCTTGTGATGTTATAGCTAAAAGGTTTACAACAAATTCAACTCTCTTCTTTATGGCCATTTGAAACTTTGCGATCCAATCCATGGCTCTAATCACTTACTACTAGATCTAAAAGAAAAAGTATAAACTCATAATAAGAGATCCTATACAAAGAAAGAAAAAGGAAATAAACTAACAAGGAACTTAAAAAAAGTGTTAAAATATCAAAATAGTCCTTAAACTTGAATTGCTGGTACCAATTTCATCCTTCTGTTAGTTAGTTAAGTGTTGATGTGGCACATATTCAATCACTAAAATTCAGCTCTTTTACTTTTCAAATATTGTAAGGAATTTTTTGAGATGACTTGGCAATTGTATATTAATAAAATTATCTATTTACATTTAAAAAACTAACATGACCAATATTGGATCACTCAATACTCCACAATGGTGAATTACTAATATTATTATTCATTTTGGGACCCATTTATTAGTTCAACAAAACAATTAAAAGTATACAATTAAAACAAGAACTATGCACCAAACAACTTTATCTTCTCTAATAAGTTTTGGTTTAAAACTCATTTGTAGCTTTGATAGTCGATGGTGACATTAGTGTCTCTTATTTTTAAATCAAAAAATCTTCAAATTCATTCTTATTTTGGGTTAGAATGAACCCAATGATTTAAAATGAAAACAAACAGTTAATCTATCTTCAAAGCAAGAATATAAAATCAATAATATAACTCAATAAGAAGATCTATAAAAACACAAATCAAACACTAATGCATCCCAAATTGGGTTTGGGTTTCTCTAAGCAAACCCCCTAGGCGAAATAATGTTTATAACCAGAAACCACAAGTTGGCATAAATGGAGAAAGAAAAATTGAAACTTTAACTTGAAACGGTCTTGCAAAAATTGATTCTCCACTAAATATTAACAAAATGAAAAGAATCTAAGTGTACCCTTGCTATGGCTATGGCTATGGCTATGGCAATGGCTATCTGATGCTTTTTCAATGCTTGAAACTTCAAAAAAGTGAAGAGTGTGATTAGTGAAGATTAGAGTTAAGAGCATTGGAATTTGGATTTGTTTGATTTGGAAATGAAGATGCACTTTGATTACTCCTACAAGGCCTCTACCTTTGATGATTACTTTGGTTTTGCCTTTAACAATATTGTTTCTTCAATTAGCTTCTCAAGATCACAACCATTAGCATTCCTCTTGAAAAGGGAAGAAAAGGAAGGGCATTGATTGGCAAATAGAGATAAGGAAGGAAGAAAAAGAGGGAAGAAAGAGAAAATAAACTCCAACCTATATTTGAACGCTAGGGAAGACGCAAAAAGAGAGATATAGGAAGAGTCGAAAAAGGAATGGTAGAGGGAATACTAAAGAAAATGGGAGGAATGAGGAAGAAGAAGGTTAATTTTGAAATTTTAATTATAATAAATTTTATGATTTAATTAATTAATTATAAATGGGCCCCTCATTCATTTATTAAAATTAAATAAGACACTTGGAAAGGAAAAAATGACACCTCATCACCTTATACATGTGTTATTTTTTATATCTCTCTTTTTTATTAAAAAATATGTTTTTTGGCAACCTAACATGCCACATTTACATTTTTTGATGGAAAGACGACATTGATACAAAAAATTCAAGTTCATGAACCATTTGGCACTTTTTAAAGTTTAAGGATTTATAATTTTATCAAAATTTGAAAGTTAAGGGACCAAATCAGTATTTTATCCAAAATACTAGTAGATCCTTATCAGGAATTACTAAACTAAGGAGCACGAACTACTGGCTCCATTAACACTTGAGAAGCTAGAGGCTTCCAAGCAACAAAAAGGAGATCAAAATACTGGCTAGGTTTCTTTCTAGAGATGGGGTTTCCAATACAACTAAATATACAAGTTTAATTTATAAACATGACAGAGTGGTACAATAATTCATGCTCAAATTTTAGAAGTGGCTAGCTAACTGGATTCATTATTTGTTGTTGCAAAGAACTCCGAAGTGCTCCCAAGCTCGGATCTTCACTTCTGCTAACTTGAAAAGCCCCGATGTTGGTCCTCAAGGTAGATACTTCGATGTCTAAGTCAACAATGATCAGAGTTACCAGATACGGAGCAAGTATTAAGCTTAAGGTTGGTTTTCAATTACCTTTGGATGAGGGCCCTTGGGGGATATTTATAGCCTTCAAGGGGGCATCCATGTGTTGTTTTTCACGAGCAATCAGGATTATATGTGTCAATGATCGCAGAAAACTCTCCTGAAAGATCTGTGCATGTACGAAGTCACTGTAGAACAAGATCAAAGGGGACAAGCTCGAGCTTGACTAAGTTCATCGTTCTTTAAACAACATCAAGGTGACTAGATTGTTGGGAATAGCTCAAACTGTCTGAGGTACGTGACCTCGGACTACCATCACTACATTATCCATTTTAGTTGGTGAACAATTCTTAAATAATTGTCCAGTGTATCCCACGTTAGTGTATATGTAATACCCCAAAAATTTCTAGAATAAATAAGTGTGAGTTAGGGACTAACTTGTGAGGAAATATTATTAGTGAACCTAATGGCAATTCGTGTTAAATTCAAGGGGCTTAAAAGAGGAAAATTTGGATAAGGATGGCTTATTTCTTTTCCTCTTCTTCTTCCTTTCTTCTTCGGCCCGTGTGCTTCTGCTCTTCCCGACCCTGCTGCAGCCCGAAAAAAAAAAAAAAAAGGAACCAAGCAAGCCGACAGCCATCCCTTGAAAAAAATCGGTAGAAAGCTTGAAATTTCTCCTTCTTTTCTTGTTCTAGAACACATATAGAACCCAGAAACTTCCCCCCCTCTGCAGAATTTTCGGATCTGCCCTGCTCTGCTCTGTCCTTCCACCGGCTGCTCCTGCTTGGTGGGTGCGAAATTCCCTGATTTTTCGGTAAGAACAGCCATGAATCTCCCTTTTCCAGCTTTAATTGGCTTGGGTTAACTTTGATTTCTCTTGGTTTCTCCAATTTTTGGATAGATCCCGAATTTCCCCCTACACTTCCCGCCGACCTCCCCCAAATTGCAGCTCCGGTTCTGCTGGCTGGAATTCTGGTATGGACAGCTCCTCCAAGTTAAATTTATCAATTAATTGCTGCTTGTTTTGTTGAATTTATCCATATAGTGGCTGCCCTTGTATTGTCCGAAAATCTGTTGAAAAATGGGGATGAATTCCGGTAGTAATTAGAGCATAATTAAGCTTAATTTAAGTGGAAATTGCTTGAGTTGGTTGCTGTGATTTTGGAGGAAAATCTCGAGTGTTTTAGCCCTTGTTTTTGCCAAAGTCGTGCTCCTCCCTTTTGCCGTGAGAATTGGAGAATTTTGTATGGGTGATTTTGCATATATATAACCCGATTGTAGTGTTCAATTTTGGAGAAAAAAATAAATAAATCTCGTGACTTGTTGTGTTGCCAAGCCCTGTTTTTCCCATTTGTTTGTCCAGGAGTCCACTTGGGAAAAAATTGGAATTGAAATAAAAGCCTTGTTCCCCATTGTTTTATCCGTGAGATTGGGAAACCATTTATATATGTATTTGTGTATATAAATATATATATATATATACACAATCCGGTCAATGAAATTGCTTATAGAATTAATTCTTGAATATTTGGTTAGGTTCTTGATCCTTGGGGCACTTTAGTATGTGGCTTGAGTACTGGGTTTATGCGAGTGAGGTAAGTAAATTATGGTAACGCACTTTGATTTTAAAGCACATTTTAGTTTGTTTTTGAAGTGGTGGTGGGACTAAACCCATTTTATACAAAAATGAGCATGATTGATTTGAAATAAGATTATTATTCTTTTTATTGATTTGAGCATGCCTTTTTGGAATTTATTTAACTGCCCAATGATCTGGAAATTATCTGTAAAGTATGATTTTCTGTTAACTTCTACCTGTTTTGTCTCCAATATGGTCATGTTATTCGTGTGCCCGTTAGTGGGAGGTTTATAAACGCTAGCACATGTCGACATGTTACTGATAGAACCGGTTTGTTTCTGTTATCCTGTTAGTGGGATTATACACTAGTAAATTGTGTATCTGCCAGTGGGAGGTTCATAACACTGACCATGACCTATAGAAGAGACGTCTATTTCGTTCCCGTACTGTATCCCTTTTTCGTGATTACACTTGTTGGCATGCTATAAGTTTAATTAAGGGCTATCTATATTTTACTTACTGAGTTATCTCATAGTTTTTCCTTGTTCACAATTTCAGGAAGCGAAGTCAAGAACGGGGAAAAACAAGGGGAGTGACGAGTTAGAAGGCTAGCCATTTTGTAACTTGAATATGGATTTTAGATATAGATCATGATCTTGTAAGCAAGATTTTAATTGGAGATTTTATAAATTCATTTAATGGATTGTTAGTTTACAAGAGATTTGAGCTTGAGATTTTGAGCTTAAGTCAGGTTGGACATAGAATTATTTTGAGATATTTGATTTAAGTTATTGGATTGTTTGATGTAAATTGGATAAGTTTCGTGATTTGTGCATTTGTGAGACTCTCTCACGAGTGCACGGCGTTTGTTACGCCTCAAATTTGAGTTTTGGGGCGTGACAGTATATTATTTTCATGGTCGTCCTTTATATTGAAAAATTCATTAAGGCTTGAAAGTTGTACAAAATGGTTAACTATTACAAATTATTTAATGAGTTATTTTTTTTATTCTACTAAGATTCATGATATTGTATATATTTATTTATTTAATAATATATAAAAATTATATACAAAAATTATT